CCGCAGGTGCCTAGCGCCTCATGGAGAGCTGGTGGAGCACGGGGGCTTGCCGTGGCCCAGCGCAGGCTGGTTCTAGTACTTCGGCCGCACCTTCCCCCGGCTCCAGTGGGATGGAGCAGGCAGCCTTCTCCCCAGGGACTGTCTCCCAGCCTCGACCGAGGGAAGTGCGATGACACTGGGGTTTGTGCTGCCGGCCGGCCTGCGAGGCCGTGAGGATATCGGGGGTTGTGCTGCAAGGCGACAGCAGTCGCCTAGGTTTTCTCGGTTCTGACTGGTGATGAGGAATGTAGTTTGAAGGAGAAGCTGACAGAAATTCTCTTGCCATCCTGTTTGTGCTCTTGAAGTTGCTTATCTCATAGCTGCTCTTGGAAAGCAGTTGATGAAGCTCATCCTCAAATCAGATTGCCATTAACACATGTGACCAGAAAGGTGTACATCAGGATAGTTTGCGTTAAATTAGAGTACATGAAGTACTTCTAAACACACCTTGACATGTGTGTGTAGAGTACATTTTGAGGCGTTTTGTTTCTTTTATGGAAAGGTTTATGCTTGAAAAGGAAGTATGCAACTCTGAGGTAACAATAAAGCAGAAAAGAAAGGGAGTGGTCAGTGTTTCTCAACTGTTAAGAGGAAAGAACAAAAGGTAGACCTGCAAGTTAATCAGTTTGTTTCTAGTAGTTCTGAGAAATATAAATGAAATCGAAGAGTTTTTTATGGATTCCCTGGGAAAGAAGTTTCCACATATGATTCTTATGTGAGCTTAGGAATTTGCTTATGACACAAAATTGATTCTTGATATGGAAAAGGACCATGATGATATACAGAAAGATGTGGGTGACCTTTTAGGAATAAATACTAGAAATAAGGTTAAAGTGAAAAGTAAAAAAATTGATATGCCATATGACTAGTATCATTTTAATCTTAAAACATCTGGGGGAAAAAGTAGGGAGGTATGCTTGATGACTGTCAAATGCCTATCAGTTGCTGGAGTGATGCCCTCCGGAAGAGAGGGATGGCGGTTTTATGGTAGTTTTTCAAGGCTGTGGGACCTTTTATGCCATCCTGATAAATATTCCGCAAGTTCGGCACCTGTGCTCAACAGGGCTGGATTGGCAGAAAGCAGGGCTACGAAGGCTGCATTATTCCCTATTTTGGAAAATACCAGGAAGAGTATGGCTTTTATTGCTGGAGTGGAAGGATAAATATTCCACAAGTTCGGCACCTGTGCTCAACAGGGCTGGATTGGCAGAAAGCAGGGCTACGAAGGCTGCATTATTCCCTATTTTGGAAAATACCAGGAAGAGTATGGCTTTTATTGCTGGAGTGGAAGGAGGGTTGAGGGGGATAAGTGCTCTGATATCAGTGGGAACAATTGTTTAAAAACAGTGTTGTCCTGAGAATGGGGGCAGTCTTCATACAGGAGGTGCTCCAGCCCCCTTATCATCTTTGTGGCCCTCCTCCGGACTTGCTCCAATAGATACATGTCCTTCTTATGTTGAGGACACCAGAACTAACTAGTTCATGTTTTTTTCTATATGAATATATTAATTAAAGATAAACTCATACATAAAATACATCTCATGTTAAGAATTAGCACCAGAAAGGCGTAACATTGAAATATGGAAAGGGAGTATTGAAATATGTAATTGTCTCAAAATGTGCCAATAATTTAGCTCAAATTGATAGCTGCTTGTGACTAATGCAAGTTATTCATTAAAAGTAGACTTGGATTCCTAGTTTGGAGATAGATTCCCCTCATACTTCTATATGGAAATAATAAAAAATGGGTTTCATTAAATAGTATTCTAAGTGATGATAGGATCTGCAGTTACTGGAAGAAAAATACGGGTTCAGACCTGGAGAGGGCACTCCCCCCCATCTGTCAAGACTATGGCCTGTATGTGGTCCTGTGGGCAACACATTGTGTCTATGTTGTGGGATAAAAAAGAACGGCCTTAAGACAAGAAGCATGCAGTTAATTCTAAATGAAAGTCATAGCCTTTGGCTGGAATCATCTGGGAATGTGAACGCCAGTAAATATTTTTTGCCTTTTTTTAGGATAAAAGGTGTTTTTCAAAAAACAGAGAAAATATTAATAAAGTCCTTCTGCATCATGTGGCTTTTCAAACTTTTGTTGGTGTTCTTGTTGACCTCTTACAAAAAAAATGTGTTCTATGTTTGCAAATTTTTTTACTTAAAATCATGTTACTTTTAGAGCTTTATCTTTAAAAAAACTTTTTCCCCCCTGAAAAAGATTAATGGGACAGGGACCAACCCTAGGCAAGGGTCAGCTTTTGCTAGGCTTCCAAAGCTGCAAAACTTGGAATGTTCTCAAAATTGTAGTATAAAAATCTTGGAACTTCAGCTGACGTACAGTGAGACTCTTGGGTTGTATCTCCTGTGTTGTCTTTAGAAAAAGCAAATTGAAGTTAAAGGTAAGCTTGAATTGTTTCTCTGACTATGTCAGAGGTCAGACTTAAATGCTTTGTATCTCTGTTTGCTACAGTTCTCATATAATGAAATAAGTGAACTTTCATTATTTCAGACAAGATCGTTTATATCTAGAAGCAGGAGAAAAAAAAAAGTCTAAATATTATGTTAAATGTTTGACATTATTGAGAAAAAAATATAATCTGCATTTTTTCTTTGTGTGGTTGGTTTTGTTTTTTTGTTTTGTTGGTTTTTTTTTTTCTTTTCTTTTCTTTTCTTTAGCATGTTCAGAGTTTTCCCAGAAGTCCTGTGAAGAATGCTTAAAAAATGTTTCGGTAAGTTTTTAACATCCTTTTTGGTTGGGTATTTGGTGGGGCTTTTTTCACCTTGATGTGAAATCAGATTGCTACAGTTTGTTTGGCTGCTTGGTGCGGGTTTTGGCTTGTTTTTAATCATGAATCTAGTCAAACTGCTCATAGTAAGAGGAAGTCGAGATCAGTTAGTTGTAATATCTGTTCTTATTTAACTGGTGGAGTCAACTTCCCCTCTGTCACGCTTGATGCCAGTGTGCTTTCACTTTGCCAAGGTTGCTCTGTGCCTTGATCACTCAGGGTATTTCTCTGCTTTGTCTCGAGAGGACAGACGGTGTAGAATCCAGTTTTGGCGTGTTCAGTACTTTCATAGCGCGACTGAGCAAGTCGATGTTGCTGCTAGTTTAGACTCATCCTTGTTTTGCAAGCAGCACATAATTCCATTTTATAGAAGGATCAAATAGACTGAATCTCATGTGGCTAAAATGCCTTGCACTGTTTGCATGCTGAATAGGAGATTTGGGAAATTAAAGTAAATTAACTAGAAATGCCTTTGTCTGGAGATGCCCCAGGCAATGTGTTTAACTGAGGCAGACTGGATCAGCAATTTATGGACGTTCAGACCTGTCAGCATCTCCACTGACTACATCAGACTGTAAGTGCTTAAGACTACCAGGTGAGGTCACCGGTTTGGTGGCAAAGTATTTAGATTTCCAGTGAGACTGCAATAAGGCAGATGTTTAAAACAATAGAATTTATTTCTCCATCCTTTGTTGAAAACCTTTTTAGCTCCACAGGAAGGTTTGTGATAAGAATGCATAAAGTGTCTGTCCCTGCAGAGCAGAAGGAACTCCCATGTTTAAAGTCAGAGATTGTCTCAAATTCTAACTTCAGATGTCACTGAAAAGAAATGTTTCATGAATCTTTAAGTTGTTTAAGTTACTGCAAAACTTCTTCACTAGGGAAAATTGAGAAATATCTGAACTTAACCTTTTTTATGCTTATGCCTATTTTGGCTTTTTAAGGGAAAAAAATAATTGCTTTGTATTGATGTGGTTATTGTGTGTTGTCAGATTTGTATATTTGTTATCATAAGCATGGCATTGTGTAAAGAACTCTTTAATCTTCCAAAGTATAAAGTAAGAAACAGAAAATATGGGTCATTAAAGATTAAATGTTCAGCACTACCACTGGTGTGACTGTCACTTCAGATAAGTGCTGCCACAGAACATGAGTACAACTTTTATTTACCTTAGAGCTATGTGTTCACCTTGTGAGAGAAATAAATCCTTCAGCTGTGTTTGCGTACTAAAGACACTAATGGAGTTACATTATTTTCAGAATTCGTCAAACCAGTGATAATGTCCAAGCTTTTTTGGGTGACAGAATGATGGATGATTCAGGGCAACTGCCTCAATAGCATCAGTGTTAACCATGGGGAAAGGAGTTCAGACCCGATTCAGACAACTAAAAAAAAAAAAACAACTACAGAACAAAGCCATTAGCATTTGTGTGAGCAGTACAAAGGCATCAGAAAGCTGAAATTACTTTAGTTGCTTCAATAGAAAAAAATCCCAGATTTTCATATTGTTGATAACATAGCAGCAGATAAAAATGAAAATTAATCATTTAGTGAAGGGATAAAACCAATTCCAAACAAACCTAAAATGTTCACTTAAATAGATCTATAATTGAAATGCTGTAGGAAATTATATGATGAAGGAATATAGCTGATTTTGTGAAGGAAAGGTAGAGATAAAACACTTGTGTACACTTACGTGATTGTAGAGGAAAAAACGTTCATTCTGTGTTTGCGGAGACAAACCAAGAGATATTTACACTATAAATGTTTCAGTAGTTCAGAAAAGTCTATTTGCCAGTGTTCCCCTGGGGCTTGACCATGCCTTACTTCTCCCAGGGGTGCCTTCCATACTGTTTTAGGGTTATTAACACGGCACAGGTGACATCAATGCACTATTATATTTGCCATTGTCTGCATGTGAGGACCTATGGCCAAGCAACCAAGGCCAGAAACCATGGCTTTGGCTCCCATGTGTCATTCATTATAAGCTCCCTTCAGGGTCTCTCTTGCCATCAGTGGTGATCAACACTTGCTTGGTTTTGGTTATCTACCACCCATCTGATGATTTAACAGATTCCAGCTATTGGGCCAATTTGTTGTCACTTTTGGTACAGTCTGGAGGTTCCCATTCTACTTTTCCTCTGGGACTGAGGGCTCCAATAAGTTACTCTGCCTTTGCTGCCCTCTTAGCTGATTCATCAGTCCTTCAGTTTCCATTTATTACCGCTGTCTGGCTGTTCTGGTGAGCTTCACAGTGTATAATTGCAACTTCTTTAAGCTTCAGTACAGCTTGTACTAAACTTTGTAATCTAAACTTTCAAGTCTGTATTTGATAGGGGATGTTTGTAGTAACAGTTCTTGTTCTTTTTCAGTAGCCCCATGGATATGGACTACACCAAAGGCATATTTAGAGTCAGTATAAATATTCACACGTTCATCTTTTGATAATTCAAAAGCATGTGTCAAAGCTGTTAGTTCAGCCTTCTGTGCTGAGATGTTAAAAGGCAATGCTCAGGTTTCCACATCCTTGCGCAGCATCACTATGCCATATCCAGCTGTCCTTTCTCCATTTGTTGTAAAACTGCTTCCATCCATATATAGTTTCAGGTCTGGATGGGTTAGAGGTGTATCCCTCAAATTAGACTGGCTGGAATGCACCTGTAGCATGACTTGTAAACCATCATGCTCTGATTCTTTTTTTCTAGCATGTAATACACCTGCAGGACTCAAGGCCAGTGATGTCAAAATCACATCATCATGTTTGATTAGCACTGCCTGGTATTGAGCTAATCTGCTAGGTGAAATCTACTGATGTCCCTTTTGATCAAGAACTGCCAGCACTGCATGCAGTACAAATACTGTGGTAGGCTGTTCCACTGTTACCGTCTGGGCTTCTTTCATTAGCAGCATCACCACAGCCACTGCTCTCAAACAGGTCAGCCATCCTTTGCCTAGTTCATCCAGTTGTTTAGAAAAATATGTTACTTGCCTCTTATTTGATCCCAAAGTCTCAGTTAACATTCCCAGAGCCATGTATTGCTGCTCATATGCATATAAAAAGAAAGATTTCATCATAGTGGGCTGTTCCAGGGCTGGAGCTTTCATTAATGCAATCTTAAGGCTGTGGAAATGTTTTTGGCACTCTGGGATCTGCCTTAGGATTTCTTCAGGATAACGGTTTGGCCATTAGGCTAAAATTGACTATCTAGATTCTGCACCAGCCTGCATTTCCCGAGAAGTCTTTCAGTTCCTTTTTTTGACTTGTGGGGTGCTATTTGACAAATGGCTTTTTTTTCCATCTGTGCTCAGTGCGCAAGTTCTTTGGGAAATCTCAAAACCCAAATAGGCAACCTTTTCCTTCACCAGCTGAGCCTTTTTCTGTGATGCTCGTTATCCAGTTAATCTCAGAAAGTTGAGTAAGTCTATTGTAGTTGCTTTGCATTCTGCTTCTGTTCTGGCCCACAGCAACAAATCATTCACATATTGTAACAAGGTAACAGAAGGGTTCTATCTTGCCATTACTCTAATTCTTTGGCCAGTACATTACCAAACAGGGTTGGACTATTTTTGGGGCAGCACAGTCCAGCAGAATTGCACTTTTCTTCCAGTGGTTGGACTTTCCCTTTCAAAGGCGATCCTCTGGCTATTTTCTTCCAAAGGGATACAAAAGAAAGCATCTTTTAAGTCCAGAACAGTATAATACTCACAATATTCAGATAATGCTGATAACAATGTATAGGGATTAGGCACCACTGGGTATACATCCACTGTTATTTTATTAATTTCTCCTTAAGTCCTGAACTAACCAGTATTCTTGAGTTTGTGGCTTACTTACTGGTAGTATGGGGTGTTGTGCTCTGATTGGCATTTTTGTAACAACCCATACTGCATAAGGGTGTTTATCAGTGGTTCCAACCCTACCTTGGCTTCTGGATTTAAAGGGTACTGTTTCTTTTCTTACTGGCTGAGATCCTGTTATTAGATTGACTTTAACAGGTGCCACATTCTTTGCTCATTCCGACATCTTTGAAGCCCACAACAAGGGACTTAGAGCATTCAAGATTTCATCTGAAATTCTATGGCTTCCTTCTTTCCTTTGGTCAGTAAGCACAGTTGCACTTTCCGTGCTGTTTCCTGTGGCACATGCAGCTGAATAGACATATCAGAGAAGGTCAATTGAGCCCCTAATTCGCATGACAACTTTTGTCCCAAAAGCAGTGAGGGGCATTGTGTCATATACAAAATTCATGTATTAAAGTGGTATCTCTTATAGTACACTCCATAGGTTTTAAAAAACATGTCAATTTCTGCTTTCCCATGTCTCTAATGACTGGCATATGTAATTTACTTAGAGGTCCTTTGCAACTAGTCACTACTGAATAAGCAGCTCCACTCTATACTAAAATGTATCTGCACAGTATTGTACTCTGTCAGTGGAAAGGAGCACTAAATTGTAAACTGTTTTGGAGGATGAATAATTTCGGTTGTTTTTTTGTTTCTTTTGCACAGTGCCTTTGGTGTTACACCAACAACACTTGTATTGATTACCCTGTAAGAAGCATTCTTCCACCATCTTCCTTATGTTCCCTCTCAAATGCTCGATGGGGAGTTTGTTGGAGTAGGTACTAATTTTACTTCTGCCATAGAGAATGATTTAAGAGTTTGATTAAAGTAAGACTACTGCTTCTAGAACTGTTTCCTGATAATTTATTTGGAGGGGTGGGGGAACCATGATCTTTAATCTTCTGGAGTTACAAATAGTCATTTTTAAGGGTTCTTTGTAAACAGTCAGTGTAGTTATGTTGGTCCAGTGGCTTTAAAACATGCATTATATAGTGAAGTTCTGTTGACAGTAAGGCATAGGCTGGCAACAAGTGATGTTGAAATGTTCTAAGCATTTTATGTATTTAGTCAGGATTCACCTGTTTCTTAAACTGTACTTCTGAGTTACAAAGAAATAAGGTCATTCCCTGTAGACAAAATTCTTTCTTTTTTAAGAAATTCTTAAAATGTTGACCACTATGCCTGGGTCCATGATTTTTATAGTGTATTCTAGTGGCAGCAGTGAACCAGTAGTACTGAGTCATTTAATTGTTCTTAGATTTCCTTTTACTTCGCATGTTGTATTACAAAATACACTGTGGAGCATGTGCTACCATTGGGGTGAAATCTTTGGAGCTATTTTTGCAATACTGTGTACGCAGATCTAAATTCAGACTAGACTGGAACAGAGAACAAATAAGACATTGGAAAGCTTGTCATATTAAATAAGAGTACGTCTTCAGTCCAGCAAAGCAGAGGCTTGCTGCTTTGTATCTATTTGCTCATGGACACCAGGAGGGGAAAGGACAGAAAACTAGTGGGGGTGAACTGTCAGTGACTGTTAACTGTAAATTAGGAGAACATTATCATGCATAGAGCAGTGAAATTATACAGTAGTCTAAATTAGAGTAGCAAAGGTAGAAGATTGCTATTAAAATGGAGCATGCAAGCTTCTGAATATTACTGCTTCTAGTCCCAGTTTGCAGGGATTATATGATTGAGCAGTACAGGAGAACTTTACCAATTCTTTGTTCTTTAGTAGAAGGTCTCTATGCTTTGTTCTGTGAGATAAAGCATTTATGCTTAGACTTCTGGAGTATTCCTAGAACTGCAGAAGGTATATAATTTCACTGATAAGGCATGCTTCTAAGGAAATCAGGCTTTCAATATTATAGTAAATGCTGTTACTGTGAAGTGTTAGAAAACTTTTTTTCTGGAAGTGTGGTGGGTTGGCTCTTGCCAATCATGAAGTACCCACACAGCTGCTTGCTCACTCCCTCCCCTGACCCCAGTGGGGTGGGGAAGGAAATTGAAAGAACAAAAGCAAAAAAAGTCATGGATATTGAGAGAAAGACAGTTTAATAGGGGAAGGAGAAAGGTAGGGGAAGGGAAAGTGCAAAGGAAATTGCATACCACCTCCTAGAGGTGGACTGATGACCAACCAGTCCCTAAACAATAGTCACCTTGGAAGTCAGATACCCCCTCTACTTTTTTTTTTTTTCTTTACCCCGGGTTTTGTTGCTGATCATGGTATTTTATGGTGTGGGATACTTCTTGGCCAGTTTGGGTCAGCTGTTCTGGCAGTGTCCCCTCCTAACCTCTCCAATCTCTTGCCTAACTCCAGCCCTGCTCACTGAGGGGAAGAAGAGAAAATCTTGATGCTCTTCAAGCCTGTCTCAGCAACAGCTGAAACATTGGTGTGTTATCAGCACTGTTTTAGCCAGAAATCCAAAACACATCATCATACCAGCTGCTATGGAGAAAGCTAACTCAGCCACACCCAGTACAGAAGTGCATGTCCTTTTGCAAAGCAGTGATCAGCATATCTACTGGTACTAAGGGGGTGCCTGACAGTTTAGTCCTGCTATAGAAGTGGCTACTATCTTGGACTCCATTTGTGTTCTAGGTTGAATGTAGCTTGAACACTGAATGAAACTTCATAATTGAGCACATTCTCAGGAAAAAGTTAAAGTGGAAGAATGAAAAAAAAAAAAAAAGACTCTTCAGACGCAGACCAACAACAAAACCCCCAGATCTGCATTTCCTTAATATACTTTTTACAAATTGTATGCAGCAGCATGCTATGGGGATATATAAATCTCTCTTACTGAGACTGTCCCCTTTGGACATGGCAGGAAAATTAATTAGCTGATGAGTGCAATGGTGGTGGCTTTTTCTTTTTGCAAATAAAATGGAGATGAGCATTGGCTCAGTGTTGCTAAAGATGAAGGTGAATATTGGAGCTTTCAAAAGAAGTCAGAAACATGACTGGCTTCCAGTTACTATTTTATATCAAATAAGACATGGTGACAGATATTAACCATCAGTGAAGAAAAAAGAATGGTATGAAAACAACATAATAAAGTAGCTTAATTGTATTGTTTTTCAATAATAATAATAAGCAAATGATATAGTGGAGACAGGAACAAAGACTGAAAACTGACAGTCATCTTCTGTACTTTGTTAATAGGGTCAAAATATTTTTATGCGTCAATTAAATGGTATACTTTGAAAGAAATGGCAATCAAACCCAATTTTCATTTTTACTTCATTGATTGAAGTATATTCAATTGCTTGTAACTTGTAGGGAAGTAAAAGAATGAGAAATGTGTATATGAAAAGTATGGTGAAATGTGTTACTTTCAGAACCGACACGTTCAGAATTGTGTGTTGTAACTAGAAACTATGTATTAATGTGTTTTATAAATTGGTACCCGGTAAACTATCGCACAGAAGCAGAAATATTTGTTGTGATCTGATCTTTAGCAAGATCTGTGAAGGACATGCCTTGGTCAGAGATGAGCTGGTGAGATCTGTAAAGAAGTAACAGACTCTTTGGCTTGTGCATGTGATCAGAGAGGACAGACTCTCTGAACCTCACTTGCTAAATTTGACTGTCTTATCACTGGAACCCTGAAGCAGTAAAAAGTGTGTGTGCAGCTACCTTTGTATTACTACAGCAGCATGAAGCTGCTGAATCTGGCCATTTAGAGGGATTTATGTTGGAGAAGGGAGAAGAGACAGCTTCCCTGTCCCTTCCCTGATGCTTTAAAATAGACAGTGTGAGGTATGAGTGCCAAGAGGTGTTTAGTTTTTCTTATCACGGTTGTTACAATTTCCCTGAATGATTTCATTTTGTCCTTTGTTAGGTCCTTTAAATAGCTCCTCAGAGTTGTGTCTATAGCTTTGCTTATATCATCCCTGGTTTTTGCTTTCTTCTTGGGCATCACTCTAGGACATGATTTTTTTTTTTATATTTTTAAATAAATGCAGTCCCGTGAATGCTGGTTTAGAGCAGCTACAGTTGTTACAGTGTATGCTGTTAAAATAATACTCCCCAACCATTTGTTACTTGCTTGTTGGACATAAACGATGACTCTCTTTGGATGTAGAAGGTGACTTACGAAGTTTTATGGAGAGTTTTGTATTGTCTCCTTCAAATTCTCTGATGTTGTAATCTTAATTTCATTTTGCTCTTTCTGTAACTGCTGCAGGTAATGTGTGTGTAGATATACATCTGCATCTATATGACTTTTTTTGTTTGTGCTGTACATTGGCTAAGGTCACGATTGGGAGAACAGAACTGTGGAATCACACCAGTAGAGATAAAACCTATGAAGTATTGCAGGACAACTTTTAATAACTTGGTATATGTGAAGAGCAATTTTTTGTAATGCCTCTTCAGTGCAAATTATGCATAGTAACAAAATTCAAATGTGATATGCTGAGTTTTAACTGGGGCAGTTGCACAGAATTGTGGGTTTGATTTTGGGTGGTTTTTTTGTTTGTGTGTGTTTGTTTTGGTTTTTTTTTTAATGCAGAGATTTAAAAATGCTTGGGAAGGAAGGGAAGGATTATTAGAAAGACAAATGTTATTGCTGGAGTCTAACAAGATGAATATATTCCTATTTTTCAGTAAACTTTGAGGCTTTAATTATTGCCATAGCTGTAGTAGCTGGGCTCATTCTCGTGTCCATAGCAGTCTGTTGCTGTTACTGCTGTTACTGCAGAAGGCGTTCCAGGAGGTAAATACATATATTTGTTTCCTTTACTAACTGTGGGTTCTGGTCTTCCTTACCTACGTACAAGATTTACTCTCAAATATACTAAGAATCTTTCAATTTGGAAGCAATTTTGGTCACTTTGCTTTATTTGTTTGAGAAAGTTAAAAACCCAAAAAACGTTATTTATTGACAGGCATTATGATACTGAAAATGTTGCTGAAATGACACTGAAGTGATGCTATTAGTGGTAACATTATAGAAGTGTCTTTAAGTAAGCTTTTGCTTTGTACTTCTACTTTTTATTCTTCCTTGTTAAGATTGGACATGAAATATTTCAATAGCCAAATAAACAAACTTGCTTCTTGTGATAACAGAACAAATAATTTCTTTCAGGGCAGACTCATGGTACAGCAAAAAGGGACCAGGTAGATAACAAGTAACTGAGCTACAATGTCCTGCAGCACTTGATATCCATGCTTCACAGTTTGCTCTTGGATCTGTCAGCGCACAGTCAGTATCTAAGTGATTAGCTGTCTTTGCCAAAGACAAATATTCAACAAAATATCCTAAATGTAAGATGATACTTTTCTGCTTTAAGATACTAAGAGTGAAATTACTTATTTTCAAGGAAAATAATACTGCAAAAATTAAAATTCTTTAGATCTTGGAGGACTTGTAAAACTTTTTTTTTTTTTTTTTTCTTTTACTGGCTTCTCTGTTGGCCAGTATTCTTCAAATGGAGGGAAGTAGTTGATAACTAGCTAAAATAGGTAAGTCAGTGCTGCCATGTGAAATGTTCAGTGCTTATTCCCTAATGAAACACTTGGAAAGCTTTGTTTATTGGGACAGCACAATATGCTTCCTTCTATCACTGAAGTTTCAGAGCTCAGGTTTCTGGGCAGTGTAGTTTCAGCTAGCTCTGTTCCTTTATTTTAGTATTTCTCATGTGAACAAAAATTTGGGCCTTATTTCTTGGTCTGAAATAATTTCTATACTATTTCAAGTACCTATAATTCATTGTTTGTGTATGAGGGTTGTGTTAGTTTTTTAAAGAACTAATGCAGCTGTACAGTGTTTAGTGCTCATCTTCAGGTCATATAAATATGGTACATCTATCGCTTTAAAGAAAGGAGAAAATAATTGTAAATAACATGTAATTCTGCTCACTCCTCCTTGAGGAAGATGCATGCACTTGTTCTGCTGGTAGATTGGTCTACCAAATATGTCCTAGTGCAGAAATTGGTAACTCTTTAGCCCTGTGCTGATAAGCCCTGAAGATGTATAGAACTGTTTTAGATTTTATGTAAGATCTGCTAGTGTCCTCTGAAGAAGAGCTGAGTATTCCCCTGTGGCTGACACGCCAACAAATAAAGCTTGATTCCTTTTAAAAGAGAGATTCGTGCCAGACTTCAGTTTTAGTAGCTAAGTCGTCAGTCAGTACCGTAACATCTAATTCTAAAAATAGAGGGTTATTGAGAGTCATCTTATGCCAGGATTCTGAAGTGTCAAGCTTAATCTTCTGACACTTAAAGGATTTAAAGGTCTTGTCAGAGGGGGGTCCAGCTTATTTCAGGAGGTTTCAGAATGTATTATTACACTGAAGCCTGATATATTACTGGCTTTAAACCCACTGATTATCAGAAGGAATTCTTTTAC